AGGCTTTTGGTTTGCAGCAAGGTGGCAAAAATAGTTGAGGCTTCTTCTGAAAGAATCACTTTCTCTTTGATCATGATTTCAGCCATCCTTTCAGATGGTGAAAAGTTTATTCTGATTCATTCAGATTTCACAACAACTTTTGAAACCATCAAAAAAGGCTGATCATGCAAAATCATTAAATTCATCTGCAGATTAAATCTGGTCTCTGCTCAACCCCTTCTGCTGCTTTCTTTTAAAGTTGAACACAGCATCATTTCTCAGTAAAAGGGATTGAGAATGTTTTTAAAATGGTATCAAAGACTAAATGTGTCCAAAGATCTACAGATTTGCACACTGAACATCCGCAGCCTTCCAGTCTAATGCCCACCTGGACTCTTTACTGCTGCTGTCCATGGTGCTGAAGGTCAGTTTCACCTCATTATGAATGGTGGGAATAATTTTTCAAATATACTGCAGTAGAATAGTCTCCTACATGATTGTGAAACAGTCATTAGATTTTAATGAAAACACTTTTTAATATTCTTTCGAGGCAAGTCACACAGAAATGACCAGTGTTATTAAAACATTAGAGAAAAGAGGGCGACTTTATTGTTTTTTTTTTTCCCAGTTACAGACTAATAATCATTTACTTTTATTACCATTAAGATTCTTTCAGAATAAAATAAAAGTAGGAGCAGAGGTGTCAAGTAACCAAGTACATATCTATACTTTGTTACTGTACTTTAGTACACTTATTGGGTATCTATACTTTCCTCCATTACTTATTTTTCCTCCTACTTTTGACTTCTACACATTACATTTTTACACAAGTATCTATACTTTCTATTCCTTACATTTTTAAAGCAAACTTTACTCGTTACCCTTGGCTTTGGTTTTAATGCAAAGGTCACGGATTATAGCGGACCGCGCCCCTTCTCCTGTTACCCCGAAATCCCACATCCTCCGCTCCGCCCCGCAGCGCTTCAGACCTCCTGTGCAAAGGAAAGTCTATAACCTCTGCTGTTCCTCCCGTATTGCTGTGCTCGGACTTATCCTGTGAGCTTTAGGAGAGCATGGGCGATATTATCATTAAATTCCTAGGAGCAAAACATGCAGAAAGAACGCCTCATTTAATATGACATGGTAAAAAAAATTCCCCATCAGCATCCAGCATATGTGTGGTTTCTGATGGAGATGAGAAATCTGCTTCCTGGTCTGTGGAAGTACCAATACCAATGAAGTACCATCCAATCTTTTAAATAAACGGTGTTAGTTTTGTGAAATATATAAGAATTGTGCTCTAATTTGTAGTAACTGATCTGTTGTTACTATATTTTTGTCATTATGCGCTTTAAAGATCTAACCCACATGCAGAGATTCACTCAGAGAACCAGGGGGAAAGTTTACAGGTTTATTGAGAGGTTGACAAATCAGAGAGAGAGATTATATGCAGGGTTATCTCAGTGGGACTTCAGCGGTCTGGTGAACCGGAATCAGAAACTCTGAAGGGGAGCTCACAGAGATCAGTTCAAGGCCTGTAAGGAAAATGACTGAGACTGGTGAATAGCTGGAAAAGACTCACATTGGAGGAATTCTAGGTTTTCCCTTGGGTCCAGTTTGTGGGGGTTTAATCCAGAAATGAATGAACTCATTGGAGGGCGGAAAGGCAGACTGGCGTTGGGTCCAGAGGAGCAATGGAACGGACTGTCACCGGGTTTCCCTGAAGTGGGCTTGAATAGATCTGGTGAAGGTTTCCCCTTGCTCAGTGTGACTCCAATTATTCCTTCCAAGGGGGGTTGAAGGACCAGGCTTACCCAGTGGATCAGGAGGGGATCCTACCGGAGAACAAAAGACAAAACCAAAGCTTAGACGCAGAGAGACAAGGCAAAGGTTAGACTCAGCTAATCTCAGTTTGGCTAGAGTACCCAATTCTGGCAAACACTCTGGCTTCGAGGTGGTGACAGCCCACTGCTCAAGTACTCCTCTGGTAATGACCCAATGAGTCGCAGGTTTAAAAGGAGGCCCAACTGGGGAGAGGGCACCATCTAGTGGTGGGAGGAGAAACCCACACGAACTGGAACCCTAACAATTTAAAATTGACAAACCGGATCTTCTCACCATTCTTTTTCCCGTTTAGTGCGATTGCAATAGCGGATCTTGACCTGGCCAGACCGGAGCTGAGCCTGAACATTTAGAGTATGTTTGCCTGCTGCTGTGAAGCAGGATTCTCCATCATGAACACAATCCAAAATAAATATTGTTCCAGGCGCAAAGTGAGCTCCTTGATATGTGCTTTAGAATGGCTTTAGTCTCCAAACCCAGGTTTAAACCCTTGCAGGGCAGCCTAAAGCCCACTGCTCTGATTAAGCCAGAAAAAAGAAAAGAATAAAAAAACAAACCGTCAGTTTAGGTGTTTTAAAAGATATGCGAATCAGGAAATTGTCTATATATATCAAACTGAAAGATTGTTGTGCTCTACTTCAAAAAACACTTTAGATTTTTAAATTGAAAAATTTTCTTTTTTTTAATATATTTTTTTAATTTAAAAATTGTATGTATAACATGGATGCATAAACATCTCTTTTTCTTTCAGTGTTAAATTCTGTTTAAAGTACCAGATAATTAAAAATGTCTCTGGTCCTTTACTGGTTGATGATTTTCTTAATTCAGATCCCACTTCTTTTGTTGTTGTTTTTTTCTAGTTGATTCTGAAAGGCTGAGTTATACATAGACCCAAAGGATCCTAAGGCAAACCCTTTCCAGTTCCTTCCTGCTCCCATACATGACTGTGCTTTTTTAGTGCCACATAAAGCTATACTGACTGTACTCTGTTCATTTTCTTTCCACGGGTTTAGGTCCTTTGTTTTCCCCCAAAGTCTGATGTCAGTTTTATAGCTGTGGTCCAATGATACACATTTTGTTTGAACGGCTCATCAGGTCCACCTGTCTATTGGAACTTTAGGGTCTTCTTTGGATACAGCATGGTAAGGGATCTTTTTCAATCTTTTTTTTCTAGACATCCATCCATCCATCCATCCATCCATCCATCCATCCATCCATCCATC